GGGAGCCCAGTGTCATGTGGCAACTTCCCCCTGCTGCCTTCTCAAAGCCTCTCTCCTTTCTCTGTTCTTCCCTGCAGCTCTGTGGCTCAGGCAGTGGCATCTGGGGCCGGTTTGGGCACCCACCTTACCTGTCCAGGAGCTCACAGGAGCTGGGGGAGGGTGGGGGCAGTTTAGGGCAGATGTGGGGAGTGAGTAGGAGCTCTGGGTCAGCAGCTCGCAGGTCATGCAGCCACCAAAGCCAGTGGCACAGGGCCAGTGTGCTGCCATGTCCCCTTGGGCTCCTGACTGGTGAGCACTGGAGCTACAGCTGTAGGAGTGAAAGCAGAGGCTTCAGAGAGCAGCAGCCACCTTTGGTTTCACAAGGGATCAGAACCAGCAGTGCAGTTTTGACGTTGCCCTGGGAATTCCCACAGGCTGCACTTGCCATGGCACAGGTAGCAGAGGATGATCTCCTGGAGCAGCAAACACATTTTCCCAGGGAAATGCATCAGCTGATGCATAGCAGCCACAGGCTGGCCCAAACCAGGCTCAGAGGATATAGGGTTAACTCGGGCTGTGGGTGAAAATGCAAGCTGAGAGCTGGAAGCTGGAGGTGGGGTTGGGGATGCAGGGTGGTGTTCAGGGAACAGATACCAGCAGCCTGGCAGGGCTGGCTGGACCGGAACAGCCTCCAGCATGACTTCAGAGCTGTGCTGTCGTGTCTCGGGCTCTGCAGTGAGTAGGCAGAGCGTGTGTCAGCCGCTCGCTCGGCGCTGCTCCCTGGGAGAGACGGAGTTTCCTGTCTAGACCCCGCTGATGGCAGTGAGGAGGGGTTTGCAGCAGCTCCTGCTCCGGTGATGACTGAAGCAGAGCCCGGGCTGCAGTTCCCCCTTCCTGGGGAACAAACACCTCGCTTCTGCCACGTGTCTCGGAAAATGTGGCGCCCGTCTGCTCCTCGCTCGCCCGTGATCCGGGCTGTGGGCTGCAGTGGGAGCCAGCCCCAGCTCCTTGCCTGGCTGCAGGACAGCTCGGGGTGTTTGCAGCCCCTGGCTGTGGGTGCAGGGCTCCCCTTGGTGCTCGAAGGATGCTCCTGGAGCCCGGAGATGGGACTCTGGAAACTGCTTCTGGGAGGGAGTAAAAGTACTGGGACCAGCCCAGATTCTTGTGCCTTGGAAGTTAGGTGACCAAGGAGAGTGATTGAGGTAAAGAAAAATTCCCTGAATCCTGCCCTAGCTGGGACTGCAGGTGCTGCCTAAGTGCAGAAATGGCCTTAAACCTTTGCCATGGGGAGGGCAGAGCATGCCCTGTGCAGGGATGGGCAGTGTGGGTCCACATATGGGCCATGTGGGTGCTCCTCTGCTGTGTCAGGGTCCCGTGTCCTCTTGGAGGTGGGGCTCACATGGGCACCAGCAAGGCTTCCTGATGGGATGTCTGAAATTCTCCTGGGCTCTCCCAGTCGTGCTGGACAGCGTTCCTGTGGAGAGCTGCCCTCTGGAGCTGTCTCCTCCTGCCTGGTGGGAGCAGGAGACAGGGGCAGGGGAGAGGACAGGAGGGCAGGACCATTTCATGCACTTATTTAATGGTGTTAAGAAAAAGCTTCAGTAAAAAATGACCCCATAGAAGTCAGCACTACTGCTGCCATCCTCCTCTGGTCAGCAGAGTGAGGTGAAGCTTCGAGCCACAAGGGTTTTTTGGGCCTGTGTCCTCTTGCTGCCCTCAGACTCAGTTCCCTATGTGTGAAATCCCTCGACGTCTGTGCGGGCAGCGTGGGGACAGCGCGGTGGTGACAGAGTCCTGCTCGTGTGTCACTGAGTCACTGGCAGTGGGAACCTGTGGCTGCTCTTCTCCCTGTGGTTTCCTCAAAAGCAGTTCCTGTAAACGAAAGAGACCCCACATGCCTGGGGACCATGGAGAGGGACAAGGAACCCTGGGCCATAACCCTGGCCCTGGCTGTCACCAGCAGCCTTTAGGATTTAAACACAAACCCTTCAGCTTTTAGAAGCAGGGATGGGAGAGATGTCCTCATGGCAGGGCCATGCCAGCTGACTGTGCAGCTGTGCCACAGCAGGGGCATGGAGGGGCAGTGGTGGCAGCAGGACTGCTCCATGGCTAATGGATTTTCAGCATTACAAGTCCCATGGGCTCACAGAAGTCAGGGTGAGGCTCTCAGGGCAGCACAGCAATTCTTCACCTGTCCTTGGTTTGGATGGGCTTTGGGGGCACTGCTGTACTGGGCTCCTGGCACTGGGGACTGGCAGAGCCTCTGGCAGGATGCTCTGGGTGGAGGCCTGTACTCCTGGAATTGAATGCCAACCCTGCCAGTGCTCACTGGGAGCTGGCATGGCCCAGGGCAGGGCTTTACATGGGCAGCACGGGAGCTCACAGCAACGCCGGAGGAGACTGTTGTGTCTGTTGTTTGGAAACCCAGAGAAAATAGTCAAAAGAGCCAAGTGCTGATTTTTCCAGCCACAGAGGAGCACCCAGACTAGCAGGAAAAAACGCTGCACACTGAATTCCTATCTGGGGATGCACGGCTTGGGGCTGCTTCCCTGCCAAGCCCAGCCTAATTACAGATGATTAAGGAAACACGTATTTGGTGATGATGGCAGGGAATTGCTGATATAGAGGAGGATATAGGGTTAGAAAATGGCCCAGCTGGGAAAAAGAACCTTTTGTGCCCAAGGAGAGGGTTTTGCTGTGTCTCCATAAGGAGGCTTAGCATGTCAGTCCCTCTCTAGGCTCCAAAAGTTATAGGATCTGATTTGATTTCCTTCCTTGCTGAGGTTCACGGCTCCCACTTTTTGCAGTGCCGCTGCTGCAACAGCCCTGACAGCTCTGAGAAGGTTTCGGGGGGGACAAAATTCGGTCTGTGTAGACATTGTCCTGTGTCTGTGCCTCTGGGAGTGAGTGACTGCTGCCCCACATGGGACACCTGCAGAGTGGAGGGTGCCCCAGCCAGCACCCACAGCTCTGCCTGGGTGGCTTTGGTCCCGGTACCCAGCTTTGTGCTGGCAGGGCTGGGGGATCCTGACTTACCTCTGGTTTCTGCCTTGCAGCAGAAGAAGTCGTACCTGGAACGGAGCGTGAAGGAAGCAGAAGACAATATCCGGGAGATGCTGATGGCCCGCAGGGCACAGTAGTGGCACCCCTGGCTGCTCCCCACTGCCTGACCCCCACCCACCCTAATAAAACACAGCACGTGTCTCTGTGCCTGCTCTCCCTGCGTGGGCGTGATGCAGAGATGGGCTGGTGGGAGGAGCTGGGGTGAGGGGTCTGCAGGGCATGCCTGCTGTATCCTCATCCTGTGGATACCCACTGCCTGCTGCGGGCACTGGGGAAGGTCCTGCTGGGGGAAGAGAGAGGTGGGCAGGGCTGGCACAGGCACAGACACAACCATGGCCATGGACACAAACACAGACATGGGCATGGGAATAGGCTCAGACTTCAGTGTGCCAGGAGGCTCCAAAAGTTATTCCGGGTCATTCCCACTGCTCCGGGTCATTCTTGTTGCCCTGGGTAATTTCTGCTGTCCCACTCCATTCCCACTGTCCAGCTCCATTCCCTCTGTCCTGTTCCATTCCCTCATTCCCTCTCCACTCCCTCGTTCCCTCTCCATTCCCTATGTTCCACTCCGTTCCCTCTCCATTCCCTCATTCCCTCTCCATTCCGTGTCCCGCTCCATTCCTTCTCCATTCCCTCATTCCCTCTCCATTCCCTGTGTCCCGCTCCGTTCCCTCATTCCCTCTCCATTCCCTCATTCCCGCTCTATTCCCTCGTTCCCTCTCCATTCCCTCTCCATTCCCTGCGTCCCGCTCCATTCCCTCATTCCATTCCCTCATTCCCGCTCTATTCCCTGTGTCCCGCTCCATTCCCTCTCCATTCCCTGTGTCCCGCTCCGTTCCCTCATTCCCTCTCCATTCCCTCATTCCCGCTCTATTCCCTGTGTCCCGCTCCATTCCCTCTCCATTCCCTCTCCATCCCCTCGTTCCCGCTCCGTTCCCGCCCGGCAGGGCGCGGTGCGCGGCCGGACATCGCCGCCGTGTGGCCGGTGCGGGCAGCGCAGGGCCCGGCCCCGCCGCTCTCCCGGCGCCTCCCGGCGGCTCCCGGGATCTCGGCGGTCCCAGGTCCCGCTGCCGCCCCCCGTGCCGTCACCCCGCAGGCACACGGCTGCTCTCACACTCTGGGCTGGCCCTTCGCTGCCCCACCGCGGAGGGTGACCCAGGGACTCCACTCCCGATTGCTGGCAGCTGCCAAGATGCCACAGCGGTGACAGGGAAGGTGACAGTGCTCATTCCCAGAGCAGGGACCTCGGCTGCAGAGGGGCTGCCCCCAGAAGAAGGCTCCTGGGGACAGGGAATTGCAAGGGACTCTCATCAACCCCAAACACATGAGCTTGCTGAGCGCAGGGCGGAGCTGCACAGCCGAGGGACAGCGAGTGCCGTGTCCTTTGTCCCTGGGTGCTCTCCAGGCAGTGCCACGCAGAGCTGGTGTGTGTCAGACACCAGGGGGGCTTTGCTCCCAAGGCTGGGGGAGCACCAGGGTGGGACACACCCCATGGAACCAGCAGCAGGTTTTCCCCACTTTTCTGCAGACAAAAGGTTTGTATCCCTTTTCTGGCCAGGCATGCCATGGAACAGCTTCAGCTCTAAATCCTCAGCACTAGATTAATCCATGGCTTTTCTCTTCTTACCCATTAATTTACCTCCTGCAAGCCTCTGCTCTGCAGTGTGGGATGATGGATTTGCAGCTGGGGACCAGCCCTGCCCCAGGAGCTGCTGAGGCACACACACAGCCCCTGCTTCTCCCAGCTCTGCTGTCCCAGCAGCTGCTGGAGAGGGCCCTGGCTCCAGAAGGGAAAAACAAAAGGATAAAAAGCTGACTGTGCTGCCCTGGGTGGGATGAGGGGCTTGGAGGTGCCAGACCAAGGACTCCCACCTACAGAGTCAGTGCCCACAGGAGGCCAAAGACAGCACCAGAGGGGATGCCCACCCTGCAGACAGATTCACTGAAACAGCCGGGGCCTAGTGAAGAAAAATCAACTGTTGGCTTTAATTATTGCGTATGTCTTCGTCTCTAGGGCTAGGAAAATCTCAACTGGTAAATATACATTTCATCAGAATGCCCTTGGCTGAAATACACCATTAGCACATTCTTCAAAGTTACAACAAAAGTCTTAGAAATGTTAAAAAGGGATTTTTTTTTTTCCTTTACTAAAATAAAGGAGTGCACCCCCCACCCCGACAAGGCGCTAGGACGGACAGACGGGAACTGTTGGCTGTGCAAAGCAGAGCGTTGATTACAGTAACAGAAAGAAGTCGGGACGGGAGTGGGGAGCCTGCGTAGCGCTGGGCGGGCGCAGCGGTCAGGTCAGCATGTCCCAGAGGCAGCAGCAGCAGAGCGCGGTCCAGCACGCCGTCAGGCAGGCGCTCTCGCCCGTGTCGTCCCTCCGCCGCTCCTCCACGACGTACACTGCGGGCACAGAGGGCTGTGAGGCACCGAGCGGGACAAGAAGCAGGGGCGGCCCGACCCCCGGGACAGCTCCCAGCACCCTGCAGCCCCTCCGCTCAGCCCCCCTGAAGGAGGAGCTGGGCCCCGGCCCTGCTGCAGCCCTACCACACACAGAACTGCCTCCTGCCCCAGCACGACAGGGACTCGGCCCACAGGGAGCAGTCCTTGTTCCAGCTCTGTCCCTCCTCCCCGTGAGGGGACTCCCAGCCCTGTCAGCTCACCCGAGGCACAGGCTAGGAGGTGGCAGCGCAGTGCAGGTGCCCAAAGGCTGCAGGCAGCACCTCATGAACAGGAACCATCTCTGCCCCGAGGCTCCTGGCAGCCTGCTGGGATGTACTGCACACTGCCAGCTGCCTGAGCACACGGGAGGGAGCCCCAGGTCGGGTGGAGCTCTCAGGGAGGGTCTCCTACTTGAGGCCGCTGTGCTGCTTGCTCTTTGTGCCAGTTCCTGAGGCAAATTAGGACAGTTTATCTTTGGCTCCTCCTCACTGAGCCCAGGCTGCCACACCCAGAACCGCATTGGTCTGAGGGCAGGTGGATGACTGTCCTTCCTGACAGCTTTCTTGGCTCTCTTTGCTGTGGTCTGTGTGGGAAACGTGCCCTCACACAGGAGTCCAAGCCAGGCAGGCAGCTGGTGCTGGACACAGCGTGCTGGCAGGCAGAAAGAAGCCTGGGCAGCACACAGCTCATGGCACCGAGGGCAGGTGGGTGACTGTCCTTCCTGACAGCTTTCTTGGCTCTCTTTGCTGTGGTCTGTGTGGGAAACGTGCCCTCACACAGGAGTCCAAGCCAGGCAGGCAGCTGGTGCTGGACAGGCAGAAAGAAGCCTGGGCAGCACATAGCTCATGGCACCAGCCTGGCTCTCCCATGGGCTTGCTTTGTGCCTAGGAAATCCTTCCCCAGTCACTCCTTGAGCTCTGCAGAGCGATGGGCAGAGGCTGATGTGCTCCAGCTTACACGATGCCACAACCCTGGCACCCCCAAGTGAGGCAGAGAGGGGGAATCCCCCAAGGCCTGTGTCCCCCAATGTCTGTGCTTGGGGACAGCCTGTGCCTGAGCCTCAGGCAGATTCTCTCTCATCAAGGGGAATAAAAGAGAAGAGGCATCCTCTGCCCAGGCACAGCCCAGCTCCAGGGCAGCCCCTGCATGGCACCAGCACAGCACTGCGGTCCCCTCTCCCTCTGACCATTCAGTCACAGCAATATCAGGAATGTCCTCCAGGAATGTCCGGATGGAGGCACCCTTCTCCCTTCAGCCCCAGGAGGAGGTGGCAGCGCTGTGACAGGCCGTGCTGGAGCGGAGAGGTGCCACACTCTCCTCCCTCAGGTGCTGCTGTCCCTGCCCACCCCTGCAGAGCCCTGGCTGGCACCTCCCAGCCGGAGCAGAGCAGGACCTGATGGAAGCCCGGCGCCCTGTGCTGCTGCCAGGGGAAGGCGGCACGACCTCCTCCTGCAGGGCAGGGCTGTTCCCAGGGCCAGCCCCTGCCACACCCGCAAGGAGGGCAGAACAAGGTCCATGGCTTGTGAGCCGGGCACCCGGCTGCCTCTTTCATCCCCATCTCTTTCATCTACAGACCCATCCCATCCTATCCCAAGGGGAATATGTCACATGGCAGACAGGACTTTGGTCAGGCCCCTCCCTCCTCCCTGCACTCAAAGCCACGCTGGAACACTTGCAAAGAGAACGTGGAGGCTTGGAGCCCTGACCTTACACAGCAGCGTGGCAGCAGCTCTGCCCTGCCTGCTCTCCATGGAGAGGTGACCCAGGGGCTTGGTCTGGACTTTATTTACCTTGTGGATCCAGGAGCTCTAAACAAGCAGCTCTTTGGTGTGTTTGTTTGCTCTAAGAAGGTCCTGTTACAATCAGTGGAGGTAAAACACACACTAAATGCTCCAAGAGTCCTGTGTAAGATGGTGACATCCCTGTGCTGGAGCCCTGACACAGCCCTGGCTCCCAACCACCTGTCAGGTTCAAGCTGTCACCTCTGAACCATGGGGAGCTGGATTCCTGCTGCCAGAGCATTGCCATACCCAAAACTGAGAGCCCCAGTGCCCTGAGACATGCAGATCCACACCACAGAGGAGGCTGCCCTTTGCCAGTTAAAATCAGCTGTCCAGGACTGCAAGAAGTGTCTGCCTGAAGTATTTATGATGAATCCATTAGAAGTTTTAAGCTACAGCCGACAAAGCATGTCCAAGGCATGTACAAAGTGCTGTTATGAAACACTTGCTGAAATATTGAAGGAAATGGCTTTCCCCAGCTTGGGCCTGAGCAGAGGGAGCTGGGTGCTCTCCTCACAGCTCTCAGCTGGCTCCTGTTGGACGCTGCCCCTCTGCTCAAGGGGTCACAGTGTCCACAGGCATCACCTTGTCCCTGCCAGCCAGCCCCTGGCACTGCTGCCATGGCTTGTGCTGAAGGGGCTGCCCAGAGCTGGACGAAGGACAGTCACAGCTGCCCTCTAACAGCTGGGGGCAGGACCAGGACAGGGCAAGGGACAGCAGCCATGCCAAGGCTTTTCCAGGACTCACCGTGGGTTTGGGGTGAGCCTTTCTGTTAGAAACAGTGCTCATGTTTTTCCCTCTTCTTTCTTCTGCTAAAAGCTGGAAGCCATTTAAACCAGCAGCACATTGTGGCAAAAGCACCTTTCTGCAGAAACCCTCTGAAAACCCTCTGCCCCATGGCAGGCAGCTGTGGTGCTTCAAACCCACACACCTTCCAAGTTCAATGAATGCCCCAAAGCCAACACCTGAAATACACATTTGAGAGGTTGCTGCCTTCCACTGCAGAGCTCCTCTCCAAGGAGAGCAAATCTCAAGGGCAGCTCTGCCACTGCTGCAGTCTGAGTGTGCACACCATCAACACTGAACTTTCATATCTGGAGAGCATCTGGGCAATGCTCCGAAGAGAGACAGCCACCCCTCCTCAGAGTTTGTGAAGCTTTCTTTGAAGTCGCATCAATGCTTCAGGAGTTGCAGATTTGTCACTGTCACCACACAAATTGCCAGAGAGATTTTAACCACAGATACAGCATTAAACAGCTTTTCTGATTTGGGTGTGAGGCTTGCAGAGGACAGCTGAAGGGTGGTCAGCTGTTCAGCCACAGCTACCACAGCATGCAAGCTGAAAACCAGCTCAAAGACAGGCTGGATGAACTGCTCCCAGCCCAGCCCCTCACCAGCCTAGAGACACTCTACACCAATCTGCTAATTTTGGACACCTGACTGTTGGCTTGAGGGCACTATCAGAGTGACACAAGTACCTGAGGAAGGACATCAAGAGCATGTGGTAGCAGCTTCACCCACTCCTCCCAGCCCATGCAGTGCTGTACAAACACAATGTCAACACCCCAAACACCACATTCAAACCCAATCCAAAATCTCTCAATGAAGGGAACTGTGGCTTTTGTGATATTCCTCAGTGTCTGAGTGCCTCCAAGCTGAAGCCATCCAGTTTTCTATGGTGAGCTTTACTGGGGATCTCATCAGCTGCTTTGTGTCTCTCTTTTGGCCAAGGTTGGGCACTCCAACCACCCCCTACAGCACAAAGGGTCTTTGTCACTACGATCAGAAGCCTGGTGGTCCCAAAAAGAAGAGAAACAAGGGTGATTTCTCTTGGAGGCACTAGACAGCACTCAGTTCTAGGCTCAGTTTTTGATGGTTTCATTGTTCTTCCTAAAACAGGATGGGAGAAGGTATAAACTGAGAGACCCTCCCACCTCCTAATCAGCCTTAAAGAGCGTAGAGCACCATGAATCATGCTTACCCTGAAAATGGTATCAGTCCCTGTAATCACACAGCAGTGGCCTGCACAAACCAGTGCAAATAACTCCCACTTTGTTTTTAAAACAAATACTACAATACCTTCTTATTTCATGTACAGTCTGCTTTATCTTGAGCATATACATTTTGTTTCTTCTCACACCTAATTGATACGTTAATCATTAGCTCCATGAAGGAAAGGAATGAGCTGTGCTTTTCACCCAGTTTGGCACAAACTAAAATAGTGACCTTAAGACTGCAGTGCCCCTCACTGCAGTGCTGTACTGGGTCTACAAGGATTGAAGTACAAGGGCTTTGATGCCACAATCAGCCCATCCCCTCCCAGGATCCAGGCACAGGCATCACTGCCAAGGTACCACCTCACCTACACGGGTGGTGACAGTGCCTGAGAGCCCCTGAGCTCTCCCAGGAGTCCTGCTGCACACCACAGGGGCCAGGCCCTTGCCTGGGTGTCTCAGGTATGACAGGAATGACATCCAGGCACAGAGAGGCAGCAAGGGGCAGGCTCAGTGCCTGGGCAGAGCACAGCTCAGCACCCACCACCCTCTTAAGGTGGCAGGGCTCAAACCCAGTGCCCTGAAGTTTATTCTCCTTTGGCCCAGCCGTGTGCCAGCACAGACCCTTCACCTGCACTCCTGGCTATGAGGCAAGGCCTGGGGCACATGAGAGGAAGCAGCAGTGGGTGATTTACCAATCATTGCTTCTGCAGCCCAAAATCCTTCCTGTGGTACCAGAATGGCTGTTTGCCATGGGAACAGCTGGTCAGGGCAGGAGTATTACTTAATACCAGAGTCTCATCTGGGGGGGAGTGCACAGCACAGAAGGGATCCATAAGCCTCTTCCCACTCGTCAATTAAGTGGGTTTTATCACAAGCCACTTCTGCACCAAGAGCTTTGTTTTCTCTTCTTCAGCAAGCAAGAAATGTTGCTCACCACCTCTTAGAATGATTTTGTGCTAAGTCAGGTCAGCCTGTGCATCTGCTTTTACTTCAAATCACTCTCACCCAGGTCCTTGGAAAGCCTTTCTGTTCAGGATGGAGGCCAGAGAAGGGAAAGTCAGCACAAGTGAATCCAAGGGATGCAGAAGTGACAGCAACAGGAAATCAAATGTCCCTGAGTCCCTGGGGGTGCACACTCTGGTCTGCAGACCCAGAGCTGCAGGAAGAAGGGCCACCCAGCTGT